ACAGACTCACTCCAAACCCGACTCACTCTCAATGTCCTGCGCGAGCCTCTCCGCCTCCTCGCGCTTGCGCTTCTCCTGCTTGAAGCGCACGTAGAAGAGCGCCACGCCCAGCGCGAAGAAAAGAGGCAAGAGCAGAGCAACCAACAGAGCCATATGCCACTCCCAGTGCCCCCAACTCACTCTCAATGTCCTGGGCCAGCCTCTCCGCCTCCTCGCGCTTGCGCTTCTCCTCCTGCTTGAAGCGCACGTAGAAGAAGAGCGCCACGCTCAGCGCGAACAGCGCGAGCGCGCCGAAGACGATTCCGATCACGGCGCCCACGCCCAGCCCCGTGGCCGCCGGCGGCGGCGGCGCGGCGACCGCCGTGTAGTTGTTGGAACAGCTTTTGTCCGTCACTGGGGGAGGGGGAGGGGAGAGGGAGGAGAGGGAGGGAAGGGGAGGGGAGGGGAGGAGAGGGGGACGGAGAGGATAGTTGAATAATGAGTGAATGAATGATGGAGCCTGAGGATTCAAGGGAAACGAATTAAAGAGAACGAGTAAAGGGAACGAAGAACGAGAGGGAGGTGAGGGCGGGGGGGCGTGAGGGAGGGAGGAAGGGTATCCCACGCATGTGCATGTACATGTGCATGTGATGTGTGTACATGGCTTCTTACCATTCAAGCATCCGGTGGTGTTCAGATATGGGTTGCCCGCGAAGCTGCGCAAGGGGAAGGAGACACAAGAGGGGCGGGGAGGAGGAGACGCAGGGAGGGAGGGGGGCAAGAGGGGGGGAAGGGGAGAGGGGGGGAAAGAAGCACAGCGGGCACGGGGCCATGGAAAGCAGATTATGAGAGGACGAAAGGAAACAGACACGTGGGGAAGAAAAGTGAAACTCACGCGGAGCGCGGACATTTTGAGTGGTGGAGTAGGAGAGAAGAGGTGGGGAGGCCTTGATGGGGGAAGGGTGGAGGAGGGGGAGGGGAGAGGGGGGGGGAGAGAGAGGGGGGGGGGGGGAGGGACAGAGAACAAGACGTGGGAGAACGAATGGGGGGATGGGAGGGGAGGAAGTGCGTGCATAATATGGTGCGGTGCATAATATGGTGCGGTGCGGTGCAAAGCACTTACTCGGGGCAGGGGAAGCGCTTGAAGCACCAGGGCAGCGAGCCGGTAAAGTTGTTGTTGGCGAGATGGCTGCGGGCGATGGGAGGACGGCAGGACAGGGCGACGGGATGATAGAGAAGATGAAGGAGAGGTGAGCAAACTGTGACCTTGGAGCGAATCCTAAAACGGTTAAAGAGCAGGAAGAGATAGCGACAGAGAGAGAATGGGAACAAGGAGAGGCGATGCGGAAAAGAGGACGGCGGAAGGGGTCAGAGTCCACGAACCAACGAGAGCTGAGGGTGGGTGAATGGGTAGGGAAGAGGAGGAAGGGTGGGGTGGGGTGGGGTGGGGTGGCGGGGGGGAGGGGCGGGAAAAGGGGGAGAAAAAAGGAAAAAGGGGTGTGGGTGGTGTGGAATGGGAAGGGAGGAGAAAGGAAGGAGGAGAGAATTCGGGCTTACAGGCACTCGAGTTTGTCGAGGTAGCAGAGCATGTCGCCGAGCGTGCCGTTGAGCTGATAACCATCTAGGTGACTTTTGAGTCAACTCACAAGAAGGGGAACAGAGAGGAATCGCGCTTACAGGCACTCGAGTTTGTCGAGGTAGCAGAGCATGTCGTCGAGCGTGCCGTTCAGCTGATTGCCCTCCAGGTTCAGCGACTTGAGGCTCGGCGCCAGCCCCAGCTGCGGCGGCTGCAGGAAACAGGTCACGGCGGGCGGAAACAAGAGACATTTGTGGGTGAAGAGGTTTGAGTTCGTTAAAGAGGCGTGCGGGTGACGACAGAAGATTGAGAATCCAACATCTCATGGTCAACTGGGTAACTGCGAGCGGGGCTGTTCGAGACAGCCAAGCTGCAGAGGTCGTTGGGGGGGTATGGAGGTGACGCTGCTCACCAGAGGGCCTTCAAGGAGGTTGTAGGAGACGTCGCTGAGCGCGGACAACAAACGAGACGGGGTTGAACGAGAGCCGGCAGCAATCCACGCGCATCGGAAAATGATTTGGTGGCGATTCCGACGGGTTGGTTCGAACGAGGAGGCGAAGTCATCGCAACCAAACAGAAAGACAAACGGGGAGGGAGAAAGAGACACGGGCGAAACGAAAGGACATATGAGACGATTGGCGAGACGAGGCGTAGGAGCAAGACATTCCGAAACAAACTCGCAACCACGGAAGGCGGCAGCAAGGGTGAAAACTGCAGCGACGGATTGAGAATATCTGCGGCCACGGGCTGGAAAGCAAAGGACTCGAAGGCAGAGCGAGCGAGACACTTACAGACGCTCAAGGAAGAGAACTCCCGAGATGTTCCAGTCCAAGCCACCCTGCAGCTTGGGCACGCCCGCGGGGAACGATGGGTAGCTCAGATCACTGCGGAGGGGTAGGAAGGGGTCGGGAGGGGTCGCGAGAGGTGGAGTGGATTAGGGGGGTGTTAGGAAGAAGAAAGGACCGACGAGGAGAGAGGAGTGGGGAAAAGAAGGGGATCGGGCGGGGACGACAGGGCGATGAGAGGACGACGGGACGAGGCGATGAGACGACGAGAATACGAGACGGCGACGAGACGACGAGACGACAAGTCGTTCGACGAAGCAACGAGATGAGGAATTGGCGAGACGACGAGAACGACGAGGCACGTACACGGAGATGACGTAGCCCTGGTCGTTGCAGGAGACGCCCGCGTACGGCAGGTCGGAGGTGTTGCCCGGGCACGGCCGGCCGACGGCGACGTTCCAAAAGGGCGCGGGGAAGTTGGTGAAGGAGCTCTCCTGCCATCCCAGCAGGAACGGGTCTGGCGGAATGAGGGCAGACGGAGGGTGAGGGAGAAGGGGAGAGACGGGGCGAATGGACGAGGGAAGAGGAGGAAGACGTAGGGAGGAGCGGGATAAGAGATTTGTGAGTTGACTATACAATTCCTAGCATAACAGCAGAAGGGGGCCTGGTGGATGTGATGGGGGGAGGGGGAGGAGGGTGAGCGGAGATATTGAGGAAGGGGAGGGTAGAGGAATAGAGGTGCGATTGATTGAGGTGGGGAGGAGGGAAGGTGGGTCGTCAAAGAATGTGACAACGATAGAAGGGCGAGAAGACCGAGGCGACGGACTCGTGAAGTAGGCGCGACTCAGGGAGGGAGTGTGAAGAATAGAACGAGGACCAAGTGCTGAGCGGCTGCCTGCGCTTCCAACCGATTCCGCGATGCTAAACGGAGATAAGATGTAAAACGGACAGCTTTACGGGAGCGCCAGCCATCTTCATCCACTGATAGCTATTCACGTCGGAATCTACCATTCGTGATAGAAGCGCACAGCTACACGCACAAGCCGGAAACGACGCCGCTATTACTGGAAGAGTCGTATCCTTCGTACACGAACATGCAAAATTTTGCGGGTAATCCTTTTGTGGTTGGCTTTGAACTAACTACACTACAAAGGTAATTCGTACGGGAGAAAAAAGAGCGTGTGAACATCGACGCGGTGGATATGGAAACAGCTACATAACGCGTGGGCCTCGCACCATGAATGGCGCAGAACACAGCTAACATGAAGAACGGGAAACTTACTGTCTCCTGCGTAGGCCGCTAGCATGTAGTCCATGCCTTGCATGCTCGTGCTTTGACCCTCCACTCGAAGCAGCGTCAATGATACCACCAATGAACACACCAGCCACCGAAACATTCGACTGTCTTGAGTGACCATCGTGCCTTGCTGGTGAGTATTGAAGTCAATAATAAAGACAAAATATATTACACCAACGCTGATGGTGCTCTGGAGGCCTGTCTTGAAACTACGCCGCTCCTCGTGACAAGACACAAAGCACTACTGATCTACAAAACACCAGCACTTCACTGCGTTGTGGTTAGCGGAGCTACGTTTTGAACTCGTAAATGGCGAATGCGTAACCCTATCGTTGCCTCGTTCTAACGTAGCTTATCCTGGAACTACGGTATTGCTGTCCTTTCTGAAAGCTGTTCTGCCTTCTCTCTGAAACATACATCCGTGACTTCAACTCGCTTTGTTCTCAGCTCCTCCTGAGTGAAGACTGCTCTTTTGGCGGTTGACTGGAATGGGGAATGCAGGAGAAACCCCAAGGTGGACTGTTGGAGATATCTAGGGACCGGTGGGGAGGGAGACATGGCAGGCAGCAGGGAGGCATGGCATGGCAGGCAGGATGAGGGTTTCGTTTGGCTTGCGATCAGGGAAAGGGACAGTGAACTGTGCACAGTAAACTTCGAGTTCGAGGTTCGGAGTCTTGGGAGTTGAGTTCCGTGGCTTGTCCTGTCAGGCTCGGAGTCGTGAACCTGGGATATCAAGCACTAGAAAGGGGAAGTTTTCGGAGCCATGCTGATCTGGTTGCAGCTACGGTTTTGCCATGCCATGTGACAGAGCAGAAACCACCTGACCGGAACCTGAAAGTTACAGAGGCCCCACCAGCAACATTTCTGGTGCTGTTGGTCGTCCGTTTTCGCACATGACGGTGAGGCGCAACCGCCGCTTGCTCAGAGTGATTTGCCCCTCCGTTGAAGTTGGTTGGGGGGGGTGTAACGAAGATGGTGCCGAGTTAGGCTGAGTGGGCTTGGTGGTAAACATGGTTATCGCATTTCCTTCAAGCAGAACTTTTCTCGGGCAGGAAACAAAAACAGGCTGACCAGGAAACCTGATTGACGAAAAATGCAAGCACTGAAGAAACTGCCAAAAACCGCTTCAATACCAAACCCAACCAGATTTACGGTGACTACACCACACTGCAAAATCTAAAAATGCGTTAATATATTTCGCTAACCCTCATCATTACCAATCAGCATCGCATCAGTGTTAGCTGAACCAGGGAAACAACACATCATAAATGGCAGGTGTTGCACGTGAAATTTAAGTGCATCATCTTTACATTTTCAGACAATAGCCAAGCAACCTAAAGGTAGCTTTCGCAGCCTTGTGCATCTAGTTTGCCGACAATCCAATCACACCTGCAAGGGAAAGGTGTGAGAGAGGGGGGGGGGGGGGGGGGGGGGGGGGGGGGAGGAGGGGGGAGAGGGGGGGACGTGGGTGCAAAGATAAGCAGACAAGTGGGTCCACGTGGCAGCGCGACTACGATAACTAACAACCAGTTAAAATACTTCACATTTATGGCACAATCAACACAGCTAGCATAGCAACTTACCACATGCCACCCTGCCACCAGCATTGCCTGTGGCCTTGCTCAGCTCAACACCACCTGCACGGTATCACCATGCACACATCACACACAAACACACATATTATTGGCACAAGGGCAACCTGTACCATACGTACGGTTCTAGGCGGATATACAACGAAATAGTCACACAAAGCACATGTGGATAAGCGAACCTAGAGGAGAAAACACGCAGATAGATCGCTGGCTCGACAACACTTTGTGCATACCCACAACGACCCCAACCTTGCTTCTCTTCCTTCCCACTCACCCTTACCCAGGTCATCCGCATCGGCATGCAAGACAACAGCACAGCCAAGGACAGACTTGGAGCCCGAGCCAGGGACTGGAGTTTGTGGCGCCTCTAAAATCATTTCAAGAGCATCCCAGCCCCAAAAACCTTGCTTCCCATCCTTCCCACTCACCCTTGCCCAGGTCGTCCGCATCAGCATGCATGACAACAGCACAGCCAAGAACAGACTTGGAGCCCGAGCCAGGGACTGGAGTTTGTGGCACATTCAAAATCATCTCAAGATATCCCCAACCCAGAAACCTTGCTTCCCGTCCTTCCCACTCACCCTTGCCCAGGTCATCCGCATCAGCATGCACGACAACAGCACGGCCCAGGACAGAGTTGGGGCCCGAGAGAGGAATCTGGAGGTCAGTCAGAGACACAGTTGCCACACCTGAACCAGGGAGTTGGATAGTTCGACACGGGGGAGAACAAGAGAATGAGAAAAAGGGGGTTGGATGTTCATAACTGTGAAGCAGGACTGGTAAATTTAAGAAAAAAAACCTCGTAAACTGCATAGCAACAAACGGATATCCATCAACTCACCAGACTCATTTGCCACCAGGTTTCCAAGGTCCCCTGCGTGCCTCTCACTATCCCCTGGTGCTCCATGGGTCTTGCCCGCCGGATTGAAGTGCGGGCCTGGCAGGGATCCAGTGAGTTTTACGTAAGAGGCAAAGACAAGAGTGTATGATCGACTCAAGTGACACCTGGGATGTCTCGATAGTCAGCAGAGGGTAATGTTCTCACCATGATTACTATACCATAACAGCTACAGATAGAAATAAGAGATCCCAGACAATAACCATGCCTATGTATAAATATAACAAGCCCACACCTGGCATGCACTCATTGGACAGGTCCACATTGTGCACGTGGAAGGCTTTCAATCAACATGTTGCATGCGGACTCGTTATAGCACAACTCTATAACGAGTACAACCTGCTCTCACCAGTGGACATGCAGCCGTTGGAGAGGTCCCCCAGCTTGTGCACGTGGAAGCTGTGAAGGATTTCAGCCAGTCTGTCTCAGACTCGTTATAGAACAGCTCTGTAACAAGCAGAAGAAACCCTTACCAGTGGACATGCAGCCGTTGGAGAGGTCCCCCAGCTTGTGCACGTGGAAGCCGTGCAGGCCTGGTGTCAGGCCTGCCACGGTCGCACTCACTTCCGTGGGGCCTGGGGGATAGGGACCAGGATAGGGGATCAGTAGGATGGATGGGATGGGAGCTGTGAATACTCCTGATGCTGGAAATTGGAAGTACGATACAGGCAGGCCCGAGAGTCAGCCCTGCCAATGTACTCCCTTCTGCAGGGCCTGGAGTTTTCGGGGATGGTGGGAGTGGATGTGAAGGAACGAGAAGGGTTCCTGAAGCGGGTGCAAAGGACAGCAGGAAGGAGGGGAAATAAAAGAGAAAATGCTTTCAGGGTTGATGTCAGCCCTGAAGCGGGTGCAAAGGACGGGGAAGCGGCTCAAGGGTTCTGCCATTGTCGATTGTTCAATGTCGGGCATAGCCAATCCCCTCTGTCGGTTACAAGGCGCATCAGGAGCGTCAGAGTCATATTGGGATGAAAATCGCATTTGCCTGATCCTTGCTCAATCCCTCCCGCCAACGGTACATAGCTACTTCTTTTGATCTTGGGAAATTCCAGATTGCATCCATTCTCAAAGTAACCAAATAATCTGAAACTCTGAAGAATGCAAGATTTGATTCGCGAATTTACCTGATCCCTCCTGCGAGAATGTGACAGTCCCGGAAACCCCGGAGCTCCCCGTCAGTACGGCGACGGCGTTAATTCCTGGTGCCGACGCGGCTGCTGGGGAGAGGGGCATGGCGAGGAGAGCGGCAAGCACGGCGGGGACTGCCATCTTGGCAACAACAGATGAGGGACCCCTTGAAACGTTGGAAGATTCCGTCTTCATGCTACTGCGAACGCGGATCACGGACGTGTTCGCGCATGATGATTGGCTGTTCATGGAGGGTCGTGAAGCCGAGGGGAGACCAGTCGCGGGAGCAAGGGACGGGGCGACGCGAAGGGACGCGGAAATCAGACCGCAGGATGCCATTGCGTTGGTTGGCGAAGCGGGCAACAAGTTCCTCACAGGCGTAGAACCGGCAATGGCGGACCCGCAATTGGCGCTGTTGAATCTTGGCAGCTGAAGCGTGCTGGTTGCAGTAGCTTTGTGGAATGAAATGTCATGGGGATGGGAACATGTAGGTGTCCAGTTCAGAGGTACCGAGCACAGTACTACACCGTACGGTAACGCACTAGAAACCGGGTTATTAGACTACTCTCGGCGACATTTCAGGTGTGAAGTGCGGGACAGGTGTCACAGTTGTGATTCGCTCACGAGTTGGCTTGGCAGGGATTCCTGAATTTGGTCTCCTTTCTGACGCTTCCACGTCTAGAAACACGTCAGCAGTGCACACGTGGCCTTCGGCAGGATTGAAGTGCAAATCTGGATCCTCGAGGAAAATGTTCCACTAATCGTTGCATCGTTGCATCGTTACAAATTCAATTCAGAATCTGAAACCATCATACAAACGTTTCTCTGGGTAAGTGATTATCTAAGCTGCTGCTTGGAAGCCGATAACACCTGCCAGAGACAAAAAGAAACTCATGAGCCCAGTACATACATACTCAACTAGGATAGCCACGGTTTCATATGGGAACCACATGAAGTTGGATGTGCTAGTGGTAAGCTTACCGCATGCAAGCCTGCCTCCAGCATTCCCAGTGGTTTTGCTGAGCTCGTGACCACCTGGAAGGGGTAACACAAGCATGACGATTTTCATAAATTACAAATCGTGAGGTTTATTGGCCGACTACATCCTCTCAAAAAAACCACCAGCAAAACGTACAATCCCCTGATCACTCATCACCCTCCCTGCATGCTCTCACCCTTTCCAAGGTCGTCGATGTCAGCATGCACGACAACAGCACGGCCAATAATGGAGTTCGGGCCAGACAGAGGGATCTGAAGGTTGGGATGGAGGAGGGGGGGGGATGAGTGCATGATAGTACGTGGGCAACAATTGCACTGAAGCTTGAAGAGAAATCACGATTCGGGGAAGGGAGAACTGAGAGCCAAATGCATACCTGAGAATCTGTAATGGTGAACTCCGCAACCCCTGCAAAAACGATTACAGCACCAATTCCAGAATAAGACTTGGAAGTTAGAAGCTTGCAATCTCACTGCACCTGGCAGGATCTTGCACCAACACATGGTCATGCAGAAGAACGAGTTCTCCATCCTAAAAAGGCACCCTTACCAGCCTCATCAGCAACGACATTCCCAAGGTCTCCCGCATGCCTCTCCTCGTCTTCCGGAGCTCCGTGAGTTTTGTTCGCCGGATTGAAGTGCGGGCCTGACGTAGACCAGCCAGTGGCGGAAACCGACAACGTACGCAAATTGATGAAATTGCAGAGACCTTCAAGGTCGAGATATGTCAGAGGATCTTGCACTAACGTGAATTCGGGCAAGGACAACGATGATAGACGTGAATCCAAGGCAAAGACCAAGAGTGGCGGATATAGGGCACGGGCAGACGATCCTTCGCGGACAAACTTAACAAATAAATAATACAGAAAAAGGCAGGACCTGCAGAGGTGCCTCGATTTCGAGAACGAACTTACGGATGACACGCGGTAAACCATTTTATTTAATTTCTAGGGGCAGGGATATGAGTGCGACCTGTGGACATGCAGCCGTTCGTGGTGTCACCCAGGGCGTGCACGTGAAATCCGTGAAGCCCGGGCTTGAGGCCAGTGATCTTGCCGTTCACCACAGTCGAGCCTGATAGCACGGCATTACAACAGATAGCGATCTTTTTGTCAAACTAATTAATCATGTTGTCATTGACTTAGTCAGTGTCACTTCGCAGCTTGATTTTTACCGTAAACGCGTGTATTAAGGAACACATAGACTCACCAGATTCGAGCTGCTCAAAGGTGACAGTGCCATTGACACCCTCGGAGCCGGTAAGAACCACAACAGCCTTGATCGTCATGTTGGCTGGGGAACACGAGCAGTTCTGAGCTAAAACTGCTGATGGACTAAAGAAAAGCACGACATAGACACCCAAAACAACAAAAATGAATTTCCGCATCTGCTGATAGCTGCTCATGATGGAAGGTTCCAGCCGCTGTGAACCACTGGGGAGGGGAAAGCGAAACACTGAAATTCGTCGCACATGCACGGATACCGGTCAGAGCGAATTTGTAGCTTGCGAGCAGCTATTGGTGGCGACCATGTTAACAGGTTCAACAGGCGGCCGTCAGCTTTTGTTCCCTGCAGCCGTCAGCATTAACTGAAATCCTCTGCATGTCAAAGTGGCTCACCCTACTGAAAATGCTCGCAGAGGAATCCGCGGTTCGGCACGGCACACTAGCCTTGGCGGCGACGACCAGTCAGTGACTTGAGGACAGTTCGACCCATCCAGCCATGTGAGACGGTCAATTGAGGATTCCTGTGGAATTGGCACATCCAATTGCCATGGAGTTATCCGCGCCACCGCGTACATCTTTTAAGTCAACTAAGTACACTCCCACATGTTTACCGTATGAGAAAACGAGAACCTCAAAAGAATGTTTATTTCTCATGCATATTGACTGGTTCTGTGCAGGATCAATGTGAAAAGCAACAACGTTGCAATATACGCTTGATTCACCCTTGGAAAATGGTTTTAAATGACACATTTTACACCTTGGTTTTGTCATTCAATGGCAGAGAATTGATGCACCATGAGATTCATTGGTGCATGCACGGTGTCCTACATTGAGAGCAGTGGTTGCTAGGAATGGGTGGTCTCACAGACCTTTTAAAGCCCGCGTCCCAAATTGCGGGCCGCGAGGGTCAAGTTTTTAAAACTTGACGAAGTTGAGTGTCCAAGCTTTTGAAAGTCACGCACTTGCAATTTGGGACTTACGAAGACAGATTCACTCACCAGGGGGAAAACCGAGGGTTGGCTGGGTCTCGCGAAAAAAACGAACCTAGACGAAATCGGAAACTCTCGCCAAAGCCCACACCAGAAAAACTCCCTCTGGTCAACTTTTAAAAGCATGAACAATTTGGGCCGCCGGCTTTAATAGTACAGGGTGAAACTTATGGTAAGGGCGTGTTCCTACGGGCCCCTATCAGGCCCTCCTCATATCAGAAACAAAAGTCTCGAGATTCTCGTTATAAATCACAGCGCGTCAGACTAAAAAAACCTGTTTTACACGATGTGAATTCGAGCGCGAAATCATTCTGACATGCCACATCAGCAAACCCATTTCACGCGATCCTGTTGAACTTCGTGCGAATAGAGCTCTGTTTTGTCGGGCTCGAGCTTTTGCGCGCGAAATCACCACCAATTTTTTCACGAAGGATGGGTTGACTCAATTGACTAGTATGGTTTACATGTTTCATTTCAAACATGCAACTTGTGAAACAATTTCGGGCACCACAAAAACAATCTGTTATTGTAACCGCGTGCCACATCATCCACGCGATTTTATTCGCACTCTACAGTCCACAAATTGAGAAATAAAAGTCAGGTAAAGACGACCTGTGGGTGTTTTAAGCGAGTCTGACAAGAGGCTGGTGTAAGGAAAATTCCTTTTCCTTACTTCGCGTCCCTGCTCAACGCGTACACCACTGTTTCCCGCCAACAGCACCCCACAATAATCTGTTACCACTCGCGACATTCGCCTCGACACTATTCCCGCCACTGTTCACAACGCGACCCAACTGTCAGAATATTATGCTCTAGCCTGTAGTGGGGTGCTCTATAGCGAGTACAACCCTTCTAGGGTTTGCTATTTGTATCCCCATTCTTGCTAGTGCAACCCCTCCTTCCCTCTTCTTTTCTTCTAAACTTTAACATGCTATCAGAGCAGGTCGATCCTCTTGGATCGATCCTGTGGGTGGACTTACCACCTCCTCGCTTCCGCTGCAACTACCTTTCACTACTCGCTGAGCCGCACGCCCCCTGGCGTGCGGCACTTTTTCTTCCCGCCGTGCGCCCCGAGGCGCGCGGCGGTTTTCTGCCCGCCGTGCGCCCCGAGGCGCGCGGCGGTTCTCTGCCCGCTGTGCGCCCCGAGGCGCGCGGCGGGCTTATGCCCCGTCGTTCGCCGCGTCGCCCTCTGGTGGCGTCGCGACGGGCGACGGGGACCCGTCGCGACGGGCGACGGGGACCCGTCGCGGCGCACCGCCCCCGGCCCCGGCCCCGTCCCCGCCTGCGGCCCCGGCCCCGACGCCCCGCGTACGCCCCGGCCCCGTCCCCGCCTGCGGCCCCGGCCCCGACGCCCCGCGTACGCCCCGGCCCCGTCCCCGCCTGCGGCCCCGGCCCCGACGCCCCGCGTACGCCCCGGCCCCGTCCCCGCCTGCGGCCCCGGCCCCGACGCCCCGCGTACGCCCCGGCCCCGTCCCCGCCTGCGGCCCCGGCCCCGACGCCCCGCGTGCGCCCCGGCCCCGGCCCCGGCCCCGCCTGCGGCCCCGGCCCCGGCCCCGGCCCCGGCCCCGGCCCCGGCCCCGGCCCCGCCTCCCCCCCCCCCCCCCCCCCCCCCCCCCCCCCCCCCCCCCCCCCCCCCCCCTCCCCCTCCTTCGGGAATCTCCTTTTCCCGTCGCCCGTCGCGGCTCCTTCGGGGGCCGCACGCGGCCCCCTCCGGTCGCCTCGACAGGCGACGGGAGGGGCGAGTATGGGGGTGGCGGGTGTGTGGTATCCCCTGCTCCTCCTCCTCCTCCGTCTCCCACTGCTGCAGCTGCCGCTGAGGGGGGTGGGTGTGTGGGAGCCGATGGAGTGGTGCTAGGGGGTGGTTGTGTGGGAGACTGGGGTTTAGGGTTTAAGGGGGGTGCGTGGGAGTGGAGCTAGCGGTGTAGCAGCGGGTGTGTGTCGGGGGGGGTGAGACCATTTGGGGAAGCTGCATGGAGGTTGCCGTCGTGTCGCCAGCAGCACCTGTATTCCGGGGACTTCGTCCGGTAGCCCAGTCGTAGCCAGCTGTGCCAGCCGCCCGTGGGTCCGTTGCTCGTCTGCCGCTACTTTAGCCGCGGGGCCTGTTACTCCTGTAGTCCGGGCGCTTAGTCCGGTAGCCGCTGTGCCAGTCTGCCTCCTGTTGCCCGTGTGTCTGCAGCTTCAGCCGTCGCCTCCTATCTCCTCTCCTCTCACTCTCTCTCCTCCTCCTCACTTGCCCGTTGTGACTACCACTAGCTTTGCTCATAACTGTTAACTCTAAACTATTGCTTCTTGAACTTGTGCTCAGAATGTGTGGTGACATTGTGATCCACCCTGAGCTTGTCCTGCTTTGCTTGCTCTGCTGATTACACCCCACTTTGGCTATGGGGGTGTGTCAGAATATTATGCTCTAGCCTGTAGTGGGGTGCTCTATAGCGAGTACAACCCTTCTAGGGTTTGCTATTTGTATCCCCATTCTTGCTAGTGCAACCCCTCCTTCCCTCTTCTTTTCTTCTAAACTTTAACACCAACCTCACGGTTCGGTTGGTAACCCGCGCTCCAGACCTCCGCCTCGACAATCCCCAACCTCGGCGCTAGGCCCGTCGCGCACCCCATTTTCCACACGTTACCATTACCACTGTAGCTTCGCTATATATTCTTCGCTCAATCCTTCGCTCATTGTATTCTTGCCTCAATTGTGCAATTCTCGCTCGCTCACTCAATTGCACTCGTAACACTTGGTATTCATAACCTACGATCTCCTCTCGGACCGCACCCGCACCTTCGCTTCCCCAATATCTCTTTTTTTTTTTTTTTTTTTTTTTTTTTTGGGGGGGGGGGGGGGGTAGACGTCTCTCAGTGACCAAGCACCGCCGCTCGTAGTGCTCTCTCGTAAGCACGCACGGCCACAACAGAGGCTCTCGCCAAGCTTGCCTGACACCCCCGCCATACCTGAAATTACTCTCGTGACACTGACACAAGCACAGCTCGACCGTCTCGTGCGCCAACTCGAAGATTCGGCACTCGAAATTGCTACACTCACAGTGGAACGCGACTCCGCTCGCCAGCAATCGACGGTGAATGCACCAGCACCAACAAATGCACCGGCACAACCAGAGGAGCCGATCGTCATCTCATCAAGCACACCGACACAGAACGACAGCGTGGGACAACGCTCAGGCGTAGCCAGTGATGGCGCCACTCACTCAATTCCTGGCATGGAGAGAAATAGGGCCCGCGGGAGCCTCGCGAAGCCCGTTGGCACATGGAATTTGCAGCGACAAGTGGCGGGCACGCCATCATGGCACCAATGCCACTCAAGCCGCAGCGCCCACCCTATTTCGACGCGAGCCAACGTGGAGGTCCGACGGTTCAATCGTGGGTCTTCACGATGAACGTCTTCTTCGACGCAAATTACGTCGAGTCGGACGCAACGAAGATTCGCTACGCTGTTTCGCTGCTGAGGGGCCCCGCCATGGACTGGTGGCGAGTCATCGTGACGTCGCCACGCGCGTACGAGCCACCGTCGCAAGAGGAAGGGCCCACGGGCCCAGCCGTCACATGGAGTTCATTTTGCGAGACAGCCCAGTACAGCACGTGGGATGCGTGGTGCGCAGGGCTTCGGGCGCGCTTCGAGCCGATCGCGGCTTCTATTTCGACGCGTTAGAGACTGCGTACTTGGCGGCAGCTCGGATCGGTTCAAGACTACACGAGTGGTTTTCTTGCATTATGCGAGCAAGTCGGCTATATGCACGAAATTATGCTACGCGAGCTCTCGAATTTTAACAAGATCCTCGCGCTTGCCGAGAAACTCGACATTCAGCGCCATCCGAGACCGGGGTCCTACTACGGACATCGTCCTCGGGGACCAATAGAGCACACCACCGTACACGCCATTGCGACGAATGCAGCTGCTGCACCGTTTAAGGGGTGCTGCTTTGCTTGCAATCCGTCGGGCCATCGCGAGAGTGAATGCCCAGAGGAGCTGAGGCGCCGCGGAACAGAGCAAGGGCGGGAGTCTCAGAGGCACAAGTCACAGCTTAGTTAATACCGCGACTGCAAGAAAGCTGCAACTG